CCTACTGAAGTTCAGGTGCAGATCTACAAAGTTTGGATTTATCCAGCTGTGCCTGGCTTGGGTCTGGCTGCTGTGCTCGACTCCTTCCTGCTGCCACCCTTAGGAGCGATCCTGTTGTGCCCCTCTGGGAAGATGTTCTGCTCCTGGACTAGTTGTGTGGTTCTGTTCCCTACTCTCTCTGTGTCGATTGCTGTTGCAGGGTTTCACTCCAGACCTGTGTGCCAGGCCTGAGCTGAGTCTGAAGGGGACAAGGTGGAGTAGGCGGGAGAGGAAGCTCTCCCACACACTCACCAGGCCTGGGCTAGGACTGGATCTGGAGGTCCCCAGAATGCAGCAGAAATTCTCACTGGGCGCTCAGTGTGGGGTGGGGTGCTACGGAGTGGTGCTGGGGCATTCCAAGGGGGTGGGAGAGGATCTCACCCATGCTGCACCTGGACTGGGACTGTAAGGTCCCACTGGCACAGGGTGGCCAGAAACTCTCCCACACACTCACTGGGCCTGGGCTAGGACTGGATCTAGGGGTCCCCAGAACGCGGCAGAAATTCTCACGTGGCAGGTGGGGTAGGGGGGTGCTGCGGTTGTTGGGGTTGGTCCCAAGTGGTGGAACGGTCTCACCCACGCTGCACCTGGGCTTGGACCGGCAGATCCCTCCAGCACAGGGTAGCTGGAACCTGTATAATATTTTAATATGGATGTATATGATTATATTAAATTATTTTTGCATAGTTCAGGTGTCTTTTTACTTACCTACTTAGCTATCAGCTTCTAGATTTTTCAGTGCTTCACCATATGAGATTGTGCATTTACTTGTGCTGTTTCCTTGTTCATGGATGTTCAGGTGTGTTTCTACCTTATTTTTGTTCTTGCAATTTTAAACAATGCTGTAGCAAACTTATTTGTGTATGTGTAAGTCTTTGCCTACTAGTGCTTTTGTGTTTATTCAGTTAAATTCTTAGATTATGATAGATTCACATGCACTTGTGACAAATAATATTGAGCAATACCATTCTCCTTTCCCCTAGTTTCCTCCAGTAGTAGCATCCTGTGAAAACCCTATGACAATTTCTCACATTTCTGCAATTTTATTTGTATATGTGTGTGCATGTGCCTCTCTGTGGTTTGGTGCGGTTTCATCATCGGGGTCAGTTGTGTTTCATCATGGTTCCATTATCACAGGATCTTTCCGTTGTTCTTTTATAGCCATACTTACCTTCTGTCTCTTACTCTTTGTGATCATGGATCTGTTTTCTATCTTTTTAATTATGTCATTTTAAGAATAGCATATAAATTGAATCATTAAGTATGCTGTTTTATGATTTTTGTCATTGGTTTTTTTCCATTGATCATACTTCCCTTGAGGTTTACTCAGGTTGTTGCCATTATTAAAAGTGTTTCTTTTTATCTGCTGCTGACTTTTCCATGGGATAGACACAATCCTATTTGATCATTAACACCTTGAAAGACATCTGGGTTGTTTTTAGGGTTTAGCTATTGGAAATAATATTGCTGTGAATATTCATATACAAGTTTCTCTCTCTTTCTCTAGAATAAGCACCCAAGATGCCATTGCTAGATTGGATAGTATTTGCAGTTTTTGTTTTTTTTTTTTTTAAAACAACTAGAGATTGAACTCAGGACCTTGCACTGCTAGGCAGGCACCTGTATCACTGAGCTATCTGCCTATCCCTGCGTAGGTTTATAAAAAACTGCCATACTCTTTTCCAGAACATCTGTACCATTTTACATTCCCAGCAGCAATGTGGAGCTGATCCACTTTCTCTGTATTTTTGCCAGCATTTGCTGTTGTCATATCTCACTGGGGTTTTGCTTTGCATTTCCCTGTAATTAGTGCCCTGCTTAGTTAAAAACATGGCCTTAATTCATTAACTTAGAAGGAAACTGTAACGTGAAAACATACCACAGAGGTAGCCAGCGTGCATCATGAAGCCAAAAAGCATTTAGCAGAGTACATTCTGAGTAGCAGTCGGGACTAAGCTGAGAAAATAAAGAGCTGCATGAAAGCAGGCAGTTATTTTGCAGAAATTATAACTGAGCAAGTTAGGAAGTAGTGGAAAGCTTAGGGCAGTGGTAGAGAACCTAGACCATGCATGTCAAAGTGTGCTCGTTATATCATTGAAAGTGTTAAAAAGTTTGCCACTTAGGATGACATGGCTGACGGGTAGGTGTTTGTGCTGGGACAAGCGTATCTTCTGATTCTTTACTTTTAGCTGTCTTAGTTTTGAGTTACAGATTATATAAGATCTCCTCAGATGCATCTCTTACTAAAATGTACATTAAGTGTGTAATCTGTTATCTGACATATAACCGTTTGGTTGCAGAAGAACACAGAACAGGAGGAGACAGCTTTCCTGCGCTGTAAGTCATCATTAGCAGAGAGAGTGGCAAGTTCTGCAGTAGAAAGAGGCTTAGAATGAGGAAGTACTCAGGAAGTCTTCCTTGAGGAGGGAACATTTGAGAAATGTTGAATGATCAGTAGACAGACATGAGCTCAGATCAGACAGGGGTGTAAAGAGGGGACACAGGAAAGGAGTTTGTTACATAGGGAAAATGACTGTTAACCAGCAGGTGGTGAAATGAGCTAATTATACAATAGTGCCCACCTGGGGTTTTTCTGCTATTGGGTTAGTTCTGACCTGTGATCAGTAGTGATGATGTAACCCAAACCTCAGGGACTGGGTTTGTGCTGCTTGCCTGCATTCCATTCCCCTTAGGGGCTGGGTTTCATCTAGAGTTAGCTGGGCTGGGAAATTGAACTTGTGCTTTGGATCAACAAATCTGTCAGAGATTGTTAAATGTATTGTTGTATTTGCTCTTTTAAACATAGAGGCTTTGGTTAATTACAGAGAAGTCTGAACACAGTCCAAGTGCACCCTCTCGCATTTAGGGCAGGTCTTACATCATTTTTACTTAACTGTTGGATTCAGGTAATTTTGGTAGGTGTCGTAGCTTTCAAGAAGCTCTCATATACATGCCATTGTAGATATATAGAGACCCTAGCAGATGAACATCTAATATTTAAGAGTGACATGTGCCTGACAAAGAGCACATTGTGGGGGAGTATTTCGAGGCGCATGGTTCAAGGTTAGTTCACCCAATTACCTACCTACAGGAGCAGCATTTGTGGAAAACATGATCTGTACCAGGTTCTGTGCTAGTGCAGAGAATCCAGGAAAGACAAGAGGTAGAAGCTAGATAGGGGTAGTTGAAGCAGACTGTGAGGTTTAATTTCCTCTTGGGGTGGGCCAGTTCTGATCACTCGGCAGTGGTGACCTAGAGTGCTGGGGTGGATTAGTATGCTATAGCACAGGGGCAGAGTAAAAGCACTAGTACTGTGTATTTGCTGATGCTGTGTTAGAATTGGCTGGTGTAGAGGGAATAATTTGAGTAAAGATTGTGTATAGGAGTGGCACAACTTCTATCGTAGGACAAAGGATGGTTGTCTTGGTTGTATGGATTGTAATGGACCCGTGTTGGGTGGTGGGCCTGGAGTACTGACATAGTTGCTTATTACACACTGTCTTCAGGAGGTCCCTTAAATGTCTTTAAACCTTAGTTTCTTCAAATATAAAATGGAGATAATAACACCTGCCTTATCTATAGCATACTGTTGGTGGGAGGAGCTAGTGAAATAATGAGTCTGAAATAATGGGTATGACTACCCACAGAGTGACAAACAATTTAACATTATTACTACAGATCTGGTGGCAGGTGGAGCAGGAAATCCTTTGTAGTTAGCAAAGTTGAGCCAGATAGTATTGGCTTCAGGGCTTTAGCACTACATCTGTTTAGTTTGCTAGTTGTTGTCATATCCATATCATAACTCCAAGGCTGCTTCTACTTAGGCCACAGAATCTAAGCCTGACCTCGCTCTCTCTCCACTTAATGTCCATCTACCGTGAAATCCTCTTATTTTCTCCAAGGTTCTCATTAACAGTAGTCTGGTTACCTTGTTTGTGTATCTCTCCCTGCTAAAACAGTGCAGATGTGGTAGAGAGCTTTCCTGACTCAGTACCATTTTTCTATCCCTAGGGTCCAGTATAATGCCTGACACAGGGGCAGTACTCTTCACATTGGTTGCATGAGTAAAGAAGTGAAGGGTTTTGAGGCTAAGACCCAATCGGCATAGGCCTAGAAGCCCTAGGAGGATTGCTAAGAATTGAGTGTAGTAGCTGTGACTTCATCTCTCTCTAGACATGTTCCTGAATCTCTCATTTCTTTGGTTATTGATAAATCAATTAAATGCATAGAAATTATAACTTAATTGAAAACTCTGGATCTTAGTTTGTGTTATAATCTCTTATATAGAATAAAGAATAAGAATCAGAATTCCAGTTTGTGTGTGTGTGTGTGTGTGTGTGTGTGTGTGTGTGTGTTGGTAAGTAACGGGCCATGAAATTGCATGCTGTTTCCAATTTGGCAGGCTGGTGGATTCAATCTCTGTAATGTAATCTTGTTCTTTGAACTACATGTGATTTGAATTAGATTTGCAACTTGTGAATTGGAAACAATTAATACCCAGCCCTTCCATACAACAAACTGATTTTTTTTTTTTTATACCAGGAATTGAACTCAGGGCCTCACATTTGTCAGGCAGGCACTGTGCCACTGAGGTATATGCCTGCTCCAAACTGACTTGTTTTTAAATTGGTTTTTCTCCCCCTATTGGCTGGCATCAATTCCCTTTTCAGAGTTTCTCTCTCATATACCATTACAATACTGTGTGTTTGGAAGTTTGATGAATATGGCAGGACTGTGCCTGGCATTTCTCCCTGACTTATGTGAAATGAATGTAAGTGGAGGGGCTTGTGGAGTGGCTCAGGGCAGTTGTGAGGCCCTTGCCTGTAAACCCAGGTGTCTCCTGTGTACCTCCATGCTGAGCCTTAGATTTGGTGATTCCTTGGCTCTCTGGAGGTGGTGGGGTACCCCTGCTTGGGACTCCCTTCACCAGGTGTACTGATAAGTCTCTGCTTCTCTTGCAGGGTAACCTGTCTGTGTGCTCAATTTGAAGCCGTCCTGCAGCATGGCTTGAAGAGGAGCCGAGGATTAGCACTCACAGCAGCAGCGATCAAACAGGCAGCAGGCTTTGCCAGCAAAACTGAGACAGGTACTTTTCTGCATTCTGGGGTCAGAGAAGCAAGCTTAGCTTCTCTCTTGCTCGTTTTGTTTTCTTTTCCTTTTTCTATTTTCTCTCCTTTCCTTTCCTTTCCTTTCCTTTCCTTTCCTTTCCTTCATCCTTTCCTTTTGCAAACCAGTCATTGTGTGGTCTGGGTTGTGTGACTTCAGAAATCCATGCCTTCTTTGTAGGTAAAAAAGTAATCATATCACCTAGCAT